ATCTGAAGGATGGCTGCTCAATTCATCATCTGCGGAGGAAAACTGTACAAGAGAGGTCATCTAGGAATGCATAAGCTGTGTGTGGAGGTTGAAGAGTCGAAGCGTCTAATGGAGGCTATCCATGGAGGAGAGTGCGGAGCGCACGTGAACGGGGTAATGCTGGCCTGAAAGATCCTCAAACAGGGTTACTACTAGTCCACCATGGTAGAGGATTGTATCGGCTTTGTTCGGCGATGCCACAAATGTCAGATCCATGCAAACTGCATAAACATCCCGCCATCGAAGCTATACAATATGACTTCGCCATGGCCATTTTCAGTTTAGAGAATCGATGTGATCGGGGCTGTCACTCTGAAGGGGTCCAATGGGCATGGGTTCATTCTGGTCGCGATAGACTATTTCACCAAGTGGGTTAAGGCCCAATCTTATGCAGTGTTGAAGGCGTCGCACGTTGTGAAACTTATCAGGAACAACATCATCTGTCGCTATGGGGTCCCGAACGAGATTATCTCAGATAATGGTTCCCACTTCAAGAAGAAAGTGATTGACTTGTTGGAGAAATACGTGGCTTTTCGTAAGTCATCCACATATCGGCCGCAGACCAACGGAGCAGTTGAGGCCGCCAACAAGAACATCAAGCGTATTTTACAGAAGATGGTGGAAACCTACCGGGACTAGCCAGATAAGTTGTCATTTGCTCTGTGGGCCAACCGGACGTCAATTTGAACTTCTACTGGGGTGACTCCGTATTCATTAGTTTATGGAATGGAGGCCGTTCTACCTATTGAAACTGAGGTCCCGTCATTACGAGTACTGGCTGAGTGTCAGATAGCCGAGGCAGATTGGCAGCAGAGCAGATTTGAAGAACTCATACTCTTTGATGAGAGGAGGCTGAAAGCACTGTACTATGTTCAAGGTTATCAACGAAGGATCGCCTGGGCTTTCAACAAGAAGGTTAAGTCCAGAAATTTGAAGGAAGGAGACTTGGTGCTCAAGGATAACCGAGCCCCCATCCATGATCCTAGGGGCAAGTTCAAACCCAATTGGACTGGTCCCTACATCATTAAGTCTATTTGGTCGGGTGGAGCTGTCCTTTTGATGGACCTAGATGGCCTAGAGTTCTCATAGCCAATCAACACGGACAAGTTGAAAAAATATTACCCCTGAGTGGCTCGCTATGTCGAAAACCCGAAAGGGCAACCTAGGCAAAAGTTAGAGCACAGAAAATTTGAAATTATAAAAACTGAGCTCGCAAGGTTGAAAACCCGTAAAGGGCGTCCTTGGCAAAAGTTAGAGCGTAAAAGGTGAGGGTTAATACACGAGTGAACCTGAGCCGAACTACGTAAGGCTTCATTCCCATCTTCGGGATACGTAGGCAACTTCATCTCGATGTCCAGCCATAAACTTTTCCCCGATCAACTTTGTCCATGTGATCATGTTTGGTCATCTTTGTCTATTCAGCATTCAAGAGCTTCGGTTGTGATCTCCGGTGCAGTGCTATTCAGACTAGGGGCAACTTTCCAGTTGCTGGGATCTGGGGTTGTGCATCTCAGTGACAGATCTCAGGAATGTCCAGCTTTGATCCTTATTGAAAATGGTTTTGAAAAGTTTTAATAAAATTGATTTTGCTCAAATTAATCTTTTTACAACTTAGACCATTTTTGGACCAAACAGAAAATTTTCAGTACCCACAACCTTCAATTTTATTGGTTTCAATACAGAGTTCTCCTGCTCCTACATACAAATTGAAGTTGCTTTTCATTACATTCATAAAGAAAACTTGAAAGTTCTGATTAAAGCAAATAAACCTGAAGCATAGTCAGGTGTTCCTGCACCCCCTCCCAGAGCTGGTTGAAGCTTCTGATGCCAAGCTGGGCCCAATCTGTGCCTCTTCATTGAGCCAATCTACGCACTCGTCAGACAAAGTGCAACTGAAAGTGGGAGCGGGGGCCAGGAGCTCTCTAGTCCTCCATGCTATGGCATACCGAGCAAGTTGCGCGCCTCGGACCGGAAATGCAACTGGGTACTCTATCCCCTCTGCCGGGCAAATCTGATCATGGTCGAACTGGCGCTGGAACCGGAAAGGAAAGTAGAAGACACAGTGTGTCAAGCCAATCAACTGAATCCCGGTCTGCCAGGACATGCTATAACTCATTGCCGGTAGATTGGGCCAAGGGCAGTGCCAAGCAATGCGGTCTGCGGTCAAATTGCACATCCAGTCAAACCACCATCCCTCCTCAAGGGCATCGACTAGGCGACGTCGAAAGAAGTAGCCGCGAGCTGAGTATGCTGGGCAAGGGTCCACAGCCTGCAATTTGTCCATCAACCACACCTGGGGAGGGATGAAAAATGAGAGATTAAAGAATAGAGAGGTGTATGTTGAGAGAAAAGTGAGAAAAGGGCTTTGTGAGAAAAATTGAGCTTGAGGGTCGAGTGATGTGAGCAATATATATGTGAGATAGGGTGGGAAACATTACCTGCAACAGTAGTGGACTCTCCGCAAATCTGGTCATCTCTCGGCGATGAAAAGCATCCAAGTCCATCAATGTCTCGGCCAATGACATGGCAATGCAGCTTTTGCCCTCCTCTAAGCCTTGGGCAACCTCGATCAACCGGGCACTAGATCCTCCGGAGCCTGAGGCAAGCAAGAAATGAGATAGCATGCACAAACAAAGGGCATGCCGCCGAAAGCCTTGCCAATGATGGTCACTACGGTCACCGGCATCGGAAAACCGACAAATCAAACTCGGAATATCCAGCATTCCGTCACAAATCAAAGATCGAGCGTCATGCATGGTCAACCCGCATATTCGCCCTAAGGCTTGGGCGTGGCCGAAGCGAATTTGGGGCAAGATTTCTTCGTTGCGCTCGGATTCCATCAAAGCTTGGAAATCTTCGAAAGTAGGACACACCTCTTGCCCGCCAAAGCTAAAGACGTGTGTTACCGGATTCCAAAACTTTGCCGCGACATGGAGGAACTGAAGATATAGCGGAGTGCGACTCAGCGTGAATAGTGCATTTATGCCAAAGCCCTGGATGTTTAACTTTTCCGAGCCATCTAAGGTAGCAATCCAAGCTGTGACATTTTGGATGAGAAATGTCTCCATTTTCATGCAAAATTGAGATGGAATGAGAGAACCACGAGGCTGGAACTTTTATAGAGGATAAGGCACTATTTGGAGGACATGTGTCAAAAATCTGGAGGTCGCCGGGCCAAGTGGTCGGCCGGCTAGTTTTTCTGGTCGGCCAACCATCCCATTGGTCTCCAAGGCAGAAAGTTGGTCGGCCAGCCTTCTCTGGTGGTTGGCCATGGAGGAAAGTTGGTCTTCGGTCTTTTCCTAGTCTCTAAAAGAGAGCTCCCAGCTTTTCCATGCGTTGGAAGTGTTGAAGGTCTGTGTTTACCTCTGTTTTAGATGCATTCTGTCGCCCGATTTGTCCGAAATGCGTCTGCTTATCGAGTTGTTGTTGAGTTTTGCTTATTGAGTTGTTAAGTTTTGTTTATCAAGTTGTTAAGTTTTCTTATCAAGTCGTCGAGTTTTGCGCATCGAGTTGTTACTCTCTGTTTACCAACATTGTCGTGTTTTGCTTATCGAGTTGTAAACTTGTTGAGGTTTTGTTGTTTCTTAGCGAGTTAAGTTGTTTAGTTTGTTGCGTCGGTTCACTACCTGACTCGGTGATATACAATGTTCAATTTTCATTCAATCTCATTTTTGTGCAAAATGATGCGATGCGATGATAAGAAAACAAAGTACAACACTTTTTGAACAAAAAGCTGTTTCATTCCATCATGATCCTTTTGTTACAACTTTTTTACAACAAGGGTACAAAGTTTTAAAGAAAATGAAACTGCCTAAAGCTAATGTGCTACAACTATTAGTAAAACAAAAAAAGAAAATAAAGCAGGGACATCTGCATCAGTGCTATCAAGCGCAAGACTGAGAGGCCCTCTTCGTCCTCTTTGGCTGAGCAACCTCTGCACCATCACCATCCGAATCGGAGTCGCCGCCCTCGGAATCCTCCTCTGCCCTCAGAACCGGATCCAGATTCATCCTCTCTGCCCGCAGATGTCTCCGACAGAGGATGTGCAGACTCCTCCTCTTTGCTGGACTCTGGATCATCTCTGATAGGTGCTCTACGCCTACCTCGGCTGCAAGTCGAATCCCCTCTTCCAGCTCCTCTAAAAGGTAGAGATGGCCCAGCCTGTAGCGGTGGCATCTGAAAAGAAGACAATTTGAATACATTAGCCAATATGTATACCAGATACAGAGACAAGAAAGCTACATAGAATGGATGTATGTAGATATGATATATAAATGTGGTGTGTGTCAGATGCACTCTACACATGCAGTCAACCAATGCAGTGAAATGGTCAAATTCAGCATGTCATCAGAAGTGTGATAAACGCAAGGAAATTGAAAAATACTGAGACGCCGACGATGAACAGCTGTGTTTCCCTCTGCAGAACCATGCCCTCGAGTGAGGCCACCACTCCAAGCATCCTATCCATGTACTCTCTAGAAGGCTGCAGATGTAAGTGCAAGTTATCAGTGAATGAATAAATGTCTAAATATCTGAGTGATAAATCAAAACTGTAAAGCATACCGGTGGCGAGTCAGGGCCACTGACATATCGATGATCAGGCAATGGAGGCTCCAATGGAATTGGGTAGGATGTCCCATACCGCCAACCTGTCAGCTCGGTGCACTCTACACATGCAGTCAACCAATACAGTGAAATGGTCAAATTCAGCATGTCATCAGAAGTGTGATAAACGCAAGGAAATTAAAAAATACTGAGACGCCGACGATGAACAGCTGTGTTTCCCTCTGCAGAACCATGCCCTCGAGTGAGGCCACCACTCCAAGCATCCTATCCATGTACTCTCTAGAAGGCTGCAGATGTAAGTGCAAGTTATCAGTGAATGAATGAATGTCTAAATATCTGAGTGATAAATCAAAACTGTAAAGCATACCGGTGGCGAGTCAGGGTCACTAACATATCGATGATCAGGCAATGGAGGCTCTAATACAATTGGGTAGGATGTCCCATACCGCCAACCTGTCAGCTCGGTCGGAAGATCTGGCCACTCAGCATGCTAATAAGTCGGGGGAATCGGGAGAATCTGTCCAGCACCACCTCTCGATGTACCGGCCCTGCTAGTCGAAGGCATATCTGTAGCCTGGACTCGACTCAACGGTGATGCACCAGCGGCCCTCCTCGTGGGAGTATGGATACCTATCAGTGGGGGCATCAGGTACGTATGGTGGTAAGTCGCGTACCCCCCTCTTCCATGTGCAGAATCGCATCAGTACCCAACATAACGACGTCGACCTCCTCGAGAGTGAGTCCCTCAGTAGACCGCATGTCCTCTGGAGGTGCTGAGGGGATACTCTGATCAGGGACGCCCATCATCTGACGCATGAAACGATCCCCCAGAAACCAGGCCCTGCCAACCAGCCCTTCAAATAAAGTCCTGTATAGGGAAGAGGCCCACCCCCCAGGGAATCGGAAATGGATATCTCCTCCCAAGGGCGCCCAGGGTTGCCAAGTGATCTACGGATAACCAGTGCATGAGCTGATTAGATATCGTAAATATGCAAGATGAATCAAAGTTGAAATCATGAAGAACTGAGAGTTCTGAATTACCTCGGTCGCCTGCACCGTATCAAAGAACTGCCGTAGGTAGGGTAGAGTCTCCCGAGCCATCAGCCGACACCGGCCCCCAAATACGTGAGAGTAAGGAATCACAAGAGGCACCTCCACCTCGAGCTCCGGGGCGAGCGTCGGAAAGTATGCATAAACCCATAGCTGTGGAAAACAGGGCAATAGCCATCAGAATACAAAATGTACAGAGAACACAGAATGCTAAATGCAGAATGGGAAATACAGAATGCTGAGTGCAGAATATAGAATACCGAATGTAAGGTAGGCCGTGTGCAGTGTACAACTAATGAAAAACAAGAATGTACATCAAGAGGGCAAAAAGTACCTCCCAGGCTCTCCAGTGGCCACCATGTTCCCTCGCTCGCTGGAGGTCTCACTCATGTAACAGTAAAGGGTAGCAAGGCCGGCGCCACCCCAGTCACACTGGCTGACCTGTGATAGGTCCACTAAAGCACTGAGCAGATACAATCCAACTGTGTTCCCCTTGTCGGAGAACAAAGTGGTCCCAAGGAGGAACATCAAAAACCCTCGAGCGTATTGCTCTATCTCCTCCAAAGTCTCAGGCGTAGTTCCCCTGTACTGCATGGGAAACCAGGTGTACCTGATTCTACCAGAAGATATGTCAATCAGCGGGTGAGCTCCCAGCAGATGAATCCAAGCCACCTCTCACTCGCCCATGTCTGCGTCATAGGGGACCAGTCGGCCGGCCGCATCAAGGCCAATCAGCATGGCAAAGTCAAACGGGGTCATCGTCATGTCCCCGGTAGCCAAAAAGTGGAACGAGTTGGTAGTGTCCCACCATCTCTCCACAAGTGCCCCCATCAAGGTCCTGCTCGCCGGGTAACGTGATAGCCCCTCGCAGAAGGGTCCAAACCCTGCTTCGTCAACCATACGATGAACGGTATCTGGGAGCTTCGCACACCACTCCCTAGCGACGATCGAGCCATAACCTCGCGTAGAGCGAGAAGATACATGCATTCAGAATTAACAGATGTATTCAGTTTTCAGAATGAGATGTATGAGCTACGTGTTCAGAAATGAAGTAAATGAACTGTGTGTTCAGTATGAGCTGCAGGCAAATGAAGTAAACGGACTGTGTGTTCAGTATGAGCTACATGTTCAGAAGTGAAAAGTTTGAGCTGTGTGTTCAGATTACAAAAAGTTTGGGCTGTGTGTTCAACTTTCAAAAACTGTGGGCTGTGTGTTCATCATCAAGAGTTTGGGTTGCGTGTTCAACTTTCAAAAACTGTGAGCTGTGTGTTCAGATTACAAAAAGTTTGGGCTTCGTGTTCAATTTTCAAAAACTATGGGTTGTGTGTTCATCATCAAGAGTTTGGGCTGCGTGTTCAACTTTCAAAAACTGTGAGCTGTGTGTTCAGATTACAAAAAGTTTGGGCTGCGTGTTCAATTTTCAAAAACTGTGGGCTATGTGTTCATCATCAAGAGTTTGGGCTGCGTGTTCACGACAAAAAGTTTGAGCTGTGTGTTCAGATTTCAAAAATTTGGGCTGCGGGTTCACGACAAAAAGTTTGAGCTGTGTGTTCAGATTTCAGAAATGTGGGCTGCGTGTTCACGACAAAAAGTTTGAGCTGCGTGTTCAGATTTCAAAAATGTGGGTTGCGTGTTCACAACCAAAAGCATGAGCTGCGTGTTCAGAAATTCAAGTGCTTGAGTTCTGTGTTCAAAATGCAAACAAAATGCTGTGTTATAGACTAAGTGTTCAGAACAAGCTGTGTGCCAATTCAACAGAATTCTGTGTTGTGAGCTGTGTGCTAAAACGAGCAAAGTCTGGTTATACATGAGCTGTGTGCCAGGTGGACCGTATGATGTGTGAATATGTTCAGAACGAGCAGATAAAAAAATACATAGCGAAAGCATGGAATGTGCAGGAAATGCAAAATACATTGCAGAAAATGTAAAAGTGAAGTACATACCTCTCGTGCCTGATGAGAGAGATGAGACTCTGGCTCCCGTAGTAACAGATCCGCCGGTGCTCGTCGATCAAAGTCAGTGAAGTGATAGAAAGTGGTCGGAGGTAGGACGTGCTCCTAAGGATGATACCTCTCGGGGTCGAAAGGTCAAACTCTCGGAGGCAGTGACATGATGTCCGGCTCATCCCCGACATGCGAAGGACCTCCACCATGATGAAAATGACCCGCCATTTGAAGAAATCTGCAAAAATGAGGCAAAAATGAGCAAAATGAGCCAAAATTGGAAAAAGTCAACAAAAGTCAACTCTCGGGAAATGAAAAAGTCAACAAAAGTCAACTCCCGAGAAAATGTTCCAAATTTCAAGACAAACTTACCTCAAGCGATGAAAATGGAGAAAGAAGCTCCGAAATCAAATTTTAATCAGTTCAAAGTGAAGAGAACTGAAAGTTTTCGCGAAACAACTTTGTGTAGGGCATTGGAAAACGCGTATAAAGCGCAGATCTAAGGGAGAAAATGGTCTAGGAAGGAAGAAAGACTGATTTCGGACTTGGAGTTGTGAGCAACAGTGTTTGGGATGTGTGTACTTAAAGATCCAAGCATGAAAAGACAAAACTGTCCCGGATTTAGCAAAGTGGTCGACCGACCAGATTTTTTGGCAGGCCGACCAGATTTTCTGGCAGGCCGACCACCCCCTAGGCAAAAACTGGTCGGTGGCACTAGTAGGTGGTCGGCCATCCCCCCTGGGTGGTCTTCAAGGTCCCTTTGTTCTCCCTGTGAATTTTGGTAATGATTGGAGTCCCCGGCTCTCGAGAAAGTACAAGAAAAGTGCACTTTTCGGCGCGAAATGCCTCCGCCAAAACTTCAATTCAAGTCTTCGACGTATGGCTCGTCGTTACTCGCCAAGAGCAAGGTGTATCCTTTTTGAGTACGTTGCGACCCCTCCGAGAGGTAAATCGGAGGTCGCGTTTGAGTTGCTCTCTTCGAAGCTTACACTTCTTTATTCAGCATTTTGTTTCAAGCATGCTTTTGAAGTTGTACTTATCCTGCATTGTTATGCACACCACTTGCATTGTTGTGCACATTTCATTGGTATTATCATGCCCCCATGATTTGCATGCATCGTCGCGCACATTTCACTTGCATCGTTATACACTGTGTCGTCGGCACCATACGTGTCCACGTTTGATATAGCTCTGAACATATGTTGCTAACTTATTGTACCTATTAAGTTCCTTTCTTTTACAGGCATGATATTGTATGTACGATTCATTCAAGAGAAGTTCCGGTTTCGAACACTCGGATGAGTTCCGGTGTTCTTTCATACCTTTTCTCCTCTCGCATGCGGTGCGTTAGGACATCTTCGGTTTCGAACACTCGGATGAGTTCCGGTGTCCTTTTGTTCGCTTTCTCCTTTTGCGTTTGATACGTTGAGAGTTGTTTCGTTTGAGACTCCGAGTGTTCTCGGTAGTCGCTTTTAGCCTTCTCCGCGTGAGACGCAGTGAGAATGGTATAATTTTCTTACATCCTTTCTACATAAGATATGGTTTGGCTCGTGTTTACTTGCATTGCATAACATTCGCTTAAACTGTTGCATTTATTGTGTATATTTGCTTCATTATAGTGTGCTTTGCATGATCATAAGTTATGTTCGGTTTTGTGCCTACCCCCTTGTATTTTGCCCCTGCCTGCGGGCACATCTCTTTGTTTATCTCGCCTGTTTGTCTAAGTCTTCGGCCTTGTCAAAAATGGGTCGTCTCTGGACTTTGACATTCACTCCTATCACTTATGACTTTCAAGTTCTGTCAAAGAGGGGCAACTGTAGACACCCCATTTTTCACTGACCTTAAGACTCAGACGTCATCGATTGAGCGCTCAGTGATGGTGCATGTTGTGCTCGTTCTGAGGTTTCGGAGTTTCGGTTGAGAGCCTTACCCCCGGACCTCGAGACCCTTTTGTGCTTTGCCTCGGTTTGTGAACCAGGTCTTGTTTTCTCTTCCCGAAGAGAGGGAGAGGTCTCGTAGACCATCTCTCAGTTTCTGTAGGCTACTTTTCGTGGTCGTAGGCCACTTTTCCCGATTGGAGACCAGTTTCTGATTTTCGGAGCCGTCGGCCGTGCGCCTTGGTTCGGGACCGCTTAACATTCTCTGTTTGGCACGGTTTTTGGCACACACCTTGTTTCCTCTGTCTAGAGGGACACTGTGGCCCGGGAGACCACCTTTGTGGTCGCACGCCACTTTCGATGCTTAACAACCTGTTTTTGGGGCACCCTACTGCGCGTTTTGACCCCCAAACCCTCGTTTTGCATCCATCTTGGTTCATTTTTGGCATGGACCTTGTTTTCATTGTTTGGGAGGTGGTACAAGGGTGGGAGACCACCTTTTCTCCTTGGAGACCACTTTTCTCCCGCCAGCCGATTTTCTTGTCAGGAAGCTGATCTCCTTCGTCTTTGAGCCACATTTACTGGTCTCCCACCATACCACTAGCTTTCATTCAGTTGGGAGACTATCAAATAGGCTGGGAAACCAACTTTTTTTGGGTTGAACCTTTTGAACTGGTCGGCCGACCACCTGAACTGGTCAGCCAGCCTCCCTTAGTCTTGTCTCTATGAGTTGTTGCCAGCTGTGCCAGCTGGAAGGCACAAACTGCATCTTCCATACACGTATATGGAGGATCTTGAGCCTTGGTTTTTAGCTTCTTGAAGAAGCTTTAGCCTTGGATCTCTATAAGAGAGAGCCTTCCTCTCCTTATACCAGGTTCAGATTCTTGTCTAAGGCATACAATACATCTCTCTCCATATCTCTATATTTTGGGTTCAAAAAGGCCTTGTTCTTGCACCTTTGCACACCACCTCATAACCTAACCCTTCCACCATTGCTTGAAGCTTCTTGGAGGCCATTTTCAGAGGTTAAGGAGTTGGGTTTTGGGTCCAGAAGTTGTTGTCTTGCTAAGCTTCAAGGGTAACACACTTTTTCCCTCTTTTAAGCTTTATTTTGGTCCATCTCTTAGCCTTATTTGCATGCATATTTGAGCTTTGTTGTCAACTAAAAAAATTCTTTTTTTGAGGTCCTTTTGATGTTTGTTTAAGGTCATTTTGTTGTTGGGGGTCATCTACCCCCTTGCATGCTTCATTTTGCCTTGTTTTGAGCCATGCCCTAAGGCCTTTGTGTTGACCTTTGCTTGGCCTTTTAACCACTGAAATTTAGCGGATTTTCAGTAGTTAACATGTGTTTTTGAGAGCCAAGATCAGAGAGGGGTGACCCTCTCCCTCCTTGTCTTGTTCACTAGCATTTTTGGCCTTACAAAGGAGCCTTCATTTGCACACCTCCAAGCCTTGTTTCAGGCCCTTTTTAGTGACTTTTAGGGCCTGCCTAGGCTCTGTCCAGAGTTGGTTTTGTCACCTTGGGTGTGTCTCTTGCATGCATAGAATAACCCCTCTTATAACCTATCAAAGGAGCATGTCATTCTTGCATGCATCGATCATGTTTCAGTGGGTTTTGGGGCTTTATTTGGCATGTCATGTCTCTGAATTTTGATGGTTTAGTG